TGCAACCTATAGCAATCAAGCTTCCAAGTCTATTGAACTGTAAGGTGATCGCATAAGTAGCGCATCCCGCGTCTTTACTATTATCATCCTTTTTTATGCGCTCTAAATGACCATCTGCCGCCTGTAAATATATATAATTTTGATATAATTTTTAAAAACCTCCGGATAGTTCTGATGAAACGCCTCTACAAAAGAATCAACTATAAATTATATAACATACCGAGAAGCTCTAAGTTCATAGTCTCTGATGGTATATAACAAGCAACACCTGTGCCAAAATATATACCAAAGTAAAGATAAATCCTAATTTTTAATTGATACATAAGCATTATTTTAATAAAAAAGATGCAAAATAGGCTAATGTATTTAAAGATAAGCACCGCCAAGTATGAGGGTTTTTGCTCTATCTCAAAACAAATTGTTCAGTTCTGCTCCTTCAAGCATCTCTCGATATTTAGTACTTGGTATTTATAGTATATTTATAGAATCCTTTAATATCGGAATGGTTTCATGATCAAAGATGTTATTCCACTAAGATTGAAGGAACTGTTATTGGCATAGATCTAGGCACGACGAATTCTTGTGTCGCTGTTATGGAGGGAAAACATGCAAAAGTTTTAGAAAATTTTGAAGGGTCGCGAACTACACCATCGGTTGTTGGCTTTACCGAAGATGGGACTGAATTGGTGGGTGCAAGCGCAAAGAGACAAGCCATTTATAATGCGAAAAACACATTTTACTCGACTAAACGGTTAATCGGGAGGAAATTCAAAGATCTGGAGATCCAAAAAATTATTAAAACTATGCCATTTACAGTGCTTGAGGGGAATAACGGAGATGCAGTAATTGAAGCCTCTGGACGCACATGTACCCCGATAGAGATTGGGTCTATAATTGTGAAAAGGATGAAAGAAGTGGCCGGTTAATTTATTTTTATTTTATTTTTCAGAGAATTACCTCGGTGAAAGCGTGTACAATGCGGTGCTTACTGTTCCTGCTTATTTTAATGATGCACAGCGTCAGGTTCATATAATTTAGTCGTAATATCGGTATTAATAATAGGCTACTAGGGAGGCCGGACTCCTAGCCGGGTTGAATATATTGAGGGTTATAAATGAACCTACAGCAGCTGCGCTTGCATATGGTCTTGAAAAAGTCGAAGACAAAGTGTAATACCATCATTAAAAAAAATTAAAGTCTAGAATTGCCGTCTATGATTTGGGTGGGGGAACCTTTGATGTTTCAATTCTGGAGATTCAAAGAGGTGTCTTTGAAGTCATGTCAACAAACGGAGATACTTTTCTCGGCGGAGAAGATTTTGATAGTTTATTATTAAGCTTTTTAATAAAACAACTTGAAAAAAACGTAATGTTAATCGCAAGCTGATCTTCCTTGTCTTTAGGGACATCCTGATATTAACATTAATCCAACAGTCTTTCAACGACTAAGGGAAGCCTCTGAACGAACAAAAATAGACCTATCGAACCTTGAACAGGTGTTAATATGACCCTTTAATGTTTTTTGATTTGATATTATTGTTGGCACTATTCCT